AACAGGAAACAAACAACACATTATTTTAATTTGTCTTATTTAGTCAAGTCATAGCTAAAATAAGTTCTGTGATATCTCTATTTATTCACATTTCTCATTTCCATTTTGTTACAGATTCTCTAATCTGAATGAAAGTGTTCGAAACAGATTTCTTCTGAGACTCTTGACTAAAGCAGCAGAGACTGAGACACAGACAGGAGAGCAGATGCTGAAACTGTTATCATCAGTCTACACATCTTTTCCTTATCAAGAGACTGACAGAATTAAACAGAGTGATTTCCTGCTGGATCTTTGCTCACATGTGAGGAACTATGAGACTCAAACAGGCAGGAGTTTCCTTCCAGCATTACAGTCAGTTTTCCAGTCTCCTGATGTCTGGATCATAGATCTCTCACAGAGAAAGACCTCCGTCCTCCTGGAAGTGCTGAAACTCCAGACAGAGAAGAAACCAGTAGAGCTGAGAGGATGTCCAGAGGAAGAGAGTGAAATGAAGAGTTTCCTTCAGTGTCTGTCCTACATCTCACAGCTGAGGTAAGATATTGTACAGCCTTTTGCTCAACATGTTTAAAAAAGCTGGAGTAGACATTTGTGTATTAAATGGATCATTCAATTATTTGTTTTGTATTACATTTGGATGCAGAAATGTTTCAAATTGATTGAAAAAAAAACTGTTATTCTAAGGGTCACAAAGAAGCTGGAAAATAGCCAGGAAAATGAAACTGTCTTGTTCTAGAAACCTCAACTGACATTAGCAAAAAAATTATATATATACTGTATGTTAGGGGTGTGACAAGACACTTATCTCACGAGACGAGACACGAGATTGGGTTCACGAAAACGAGATGAGATTTTTGCACAATATTTAATAGAAATCCTCAGTGAAAAAGTTCATGACTAAAAATAGTCTGCAAGTCCATTTTGAAATGTTTTAACTAATAATCTTCATTTCATGTCATTTCAGTTCTACTTTTTGAGTATGAATTATCAAATGCATTGAAAGACAACAATATACAGCACTGTAAAATGTTTTGCCACAAACTCAACTGACTGGCTTTTCTCCTGTATGATTTCACATGAGTCACTTCAGACGTTACTGTACATTTATGAGCTTCCAGAACTTCTGATTGAGGCTGTGTGTGACAACCTAATTGAACTCATTTACACAAAATGAACATAGACATAAAAACAGTATAAATAACAAAAATAAATAAGTGTTCTCTTAGTCTTATTAAGTATCTCTCTTTATACAGGGTGTCCGTGGTGTCTTAGAAAGTATTAAAAGTTGATAAATCAATTTAGAGAAAATTAAGGCCCTGAGTATTAAAAAGTCTTAAATGCAATTTTCCAAGGTATTACATTTTGTATCATCTTTTCATTATGTATATTTGTGCAAAGGTTGTATGCTAATGTTCACCTGAGTTTAATCATTGTGTGGGGGCGATTAGTGGGATTCTGTGTAGTTTTATTTATTTATTTATTTTTCTTTTTTTATTGAGTACAAAATTATACAAGGCAAATGTATTCTTTCTACAGTGCGTAAGAATATCGAATGAAAGCCTCAACACAGTTTAACAAAAAATAAATACAAATTTGAAATCATATCTTACATTGACTTAGGGTTAAAAATAAATAAATAAATAAATAAAATAAATAAAATTAAGGGGCAATATCACACCAAATCATATGAAATCAAAAGATCAAGCAGCTTCATCGCACTCCCACCTCACATTCCTTCAAGGGCTCTAGAAATACACTTTAAATCATTTTTGAACACAACAAATAGTGGGAGGGATTTAAAAAATCTACATTTGCGAATGAAATATTTAGCCATTATTATAATGTTATTAATCAAATAGAAATGAACACAGCAGTCTTTGGGAATTCCAAATAAAATATGTTGTAAAGTAAAAGCAAAACCATTAACAACTTTTCTATCAACCAGTCCTGAACTGATATCCAGAAGATTTTGGACAAATTGCATGTAAAGAAGAAATGGTCAGTGTCTTCAGAACGGTTATTACAGAAAGAACAGGGGACAATATCTATATTACATTTTTGATTTAAGAGTTTGTTGGAAGGATACATTTCATTTAAGATTTTGAAGTGCGTTTCTTTTGCTTTAGGGGGAATAGGAAAACTGAAATAAGCTGTTCTAAGATATTTTACAGTAGTCTTATTAAACATGTGATCTAACTTATTTCTTTTAATTTGACAGGGATAACATGTTTTTAAGACGACCTGTATTATATACTTGTTAGTACAATGAGCACTTTTAAAATGAATATCTCCAATGAATAAAGTGGGAAGAGCTGGTTTAACTTTAGCATAAGAAAGAGCGCATCTCATCAGCATTTTTATGCCAGAAGGTATTGCATTAATGACAGTGAAGAACTCTTAATGTAACAGCATTATAGTCTAAAAGGTTACCCTTTTCATCCATTAGATCCCTCACCGACCATATGCTTCTGCTTAGCCAATTCTTAAAGCATAAAGATTTGTTCCTGTGCAATATATATTTGTTGTTCCAAACAGAAACACTATGAGGTGTAAAATTGTGTGTGTGCCAATTTCCAAAATAAGAGAACTTGTTGATGGAATGTTGATAGTTTCTCCGGGAGTTTGGATAAATCAAAATCACATTTGAGAAAATATTGAATTCCACCAAATTCTTGAAATAAAGCTGAAGGAACTGTAAACCAAAAACTATCTTCATTGCATACAAACATTTTTAGCCATTTGAGTTTTAACAAAATATTCAGCTTTCTTTGTTATAAACAGTTTAAAAAGTGCATCGGATGAAAGGAAAGAAAATATCTTAAACTCTAATCAAGCCCTAAAAATACATGCATTAAAATGCCAGCATGGTTAATGCAATGCATATCTTTTTCAACTAGTGCAATTCAACAGGCTTTTTTGCTTCAAAAACATTTGGCATTATTTTACTTCCATAGAAGGCATTCCTGATACCGTTCAAAGAATATAACTCAGTTTTCAAATCTATACCTAATGGCATATTAGAACTAATGAAAAGTTCCTGGCTTTAATTTTACTCTTTATATAAACGGTATGGATATTATCAGCAGCAATTGTACAGATAATAAGCATGTCAGAAAATGCTTTCTAAATTTAAAGAAAATAAATAACACCTTGTGGGAAATTTTTCTGGAATCCTCATTTTACTGAGATTAATTGGCATGGGGCGTGGCTTGTTCCTTTTAGATTTTGTATCACAAACAAAGTTAGGGAATTACATTTGAAAATATTCCATAATATAGGCTATATATCCCACAAACTTGTTTATCTCAAAATTCACGCCTGTTGAGAATTATTGTAGTTTTTGTAAGATAGAACAAGAATCGTTTACTCATCTCTTTTATTGTTCATTTTGTATTATTAAATTAAATTATATGGCATCTAAAACAACAAATCACACTTGAAGGGAAATCTCTTTATTTTACTAGGTTCCATATTCATAAAGCAAAATCTTCCAAATCAAGACCATATTTAAAATTATTCCAAATTGAAACTGACATATATTTTGAGTCTCTTAAATTGGTAAAAAATTAGAAAGCTACGTCAATAACTGATATATACTGAAACATTCCTGTTATCCTTATCATTAATGAAGTTTGTAAGTCTGTTTTTTTAAATTAATTTATTAATTTCATACTTGTTATTCATATTATGTTATTTGTAATTATTTGATGTATATTCTTTGTTTATGGATTGTGATGACTGATTGTTTGTAAATTGAATTAAAAAAAATATATATTTATAATAATTCATAATATTTATCTTGTTTATATTGTTTCACTTTCATGTTGAGAAAAACAATAATATTCACATGCTCGAGTAGAAAACGCGCTGTGATCTTCGCAACGGAAGTGAATCAATCAAGACTATCTTTAGCTGGACAATAACTTTATCCTAGAGCTGTGGCAAAGCCTAAACAATATGTTACGGTTATATATATTATCACTGTAAAGCTGCTTTGAAACAATCCATACTGTTAAAAGCGCTTTATAAATGAAGGTGACAGGTTTGGAACAACACAAGGGGGAGTAAATGATGACCACATTTTGGGTGAACTATTCCTTTAGGGATAAATCAGTCCACGCCTATTTTGGGTGAAATGGCCAATAGTAGTTAGGAACGTTTAGCGGGAGAGAGTTTCTTCGTCTCCTTCTGACAGTCGAATCTGCATGTTTAATGATGATGTCAGAATTGGTCATTTTTACTCCTAAGGATGGTAAACATAGTATTATACATGTTATTGTAACACACTAAACATCATTAATTAAGGCGTAACGAGAGGAATATTTCGATACCAAGAAAGATATGGCTGGAAGATATCAAAGCAGAGAAACATTCTCACACTTGACTATAAGCACTGAGAGTTTAACTAACACAACTAGAAAGTTGTAACTAGGCTAATATAAGCTGGGGACATTCATACACACAGGAATATATCATATACATTCTGGGATGACTTAATTATGAGTTAAATGGAAAGAATGTGTGTGTCTCTGTATGTTGGGTGTGTTTCTCCAGTTTCTAAGACACATGGCCTTTCGTTCCTGGCGTGGAAGGGAAGTTGAGTTTATAAAGATCTTTTTGAAGCTCACGAAGGAGTTTCTGTTCAGCCTCTGCCAGGACACTAAAGTGACAATGGGGGAAATTTGATCCAGACTCGTCGGCGCTAGGCCTGTGATTTACATGAAGAAGTCCAAAAAGGTTAAAAGCTTTCTGAAGTTTAGAACTGAATCGGTCATCGTGACTCAGTCCAGACGCTACACGTTATACTGTATATGGAGCTTGGAAAATAGTGTGATAAATGTCACTAGATTCTGTCCTCTTATATAAATGTTGCTGTTATGTTTCTTATTATCAGAATAATTGTTTTTGTGTACAATATTGTTGATTTATAAATGCTGTATGTTGTCATAAATTAACAGGATTTTTATTTCTCTGTATTTGATCAGCTTTTGGTTCTATGATGATGATGATGGTGAAGAAGAACTGATGAAGCCTGCAGTGAAACTCCTGCTGAATCTCAGTGTTGCTGCAGTTGAAAATGTCACAGTTACAGGAACAAGATTCTCTACTCTGCTGTCGTCTGTGTGCAGTTACAAAACCTTCCCTTTTCATCAAGAGTGGGATGGAGATGATTATGCTGATTATCAGAGTGATTTCCTGCTGGATCTTTGCTCACATGTGAGGAACTATGAGACTCAAACAGGCAGGAGTTTCCTTCCAGCATTACAGTCAGTTTTCCAGTCTCCTGATGTCTGGATCATAGATCTCTCACAGAGAAAGACCTCCGTCCTCCTGGAAGTGCTGAAACTCCAGACAGAGAAGAAACCAGTAGAGCTGAGAGGATGTTCAGAGGAAGAGAGTGAAATGAAGAGTTTCCTTCAGTGTCTGTCCTACATCTCACAGCTGAGGTAACTGAACTTTTGGATATTCACTTACTTCTCGATCAGTATCACTTCACTGTATCTTGATCTGTTCATGGAAATAAATGTTTTATATTGATTTAGAATCTTTTTTATATAATGATTAGAGTTTTAAATATTTTCTTTCCTTTCATCCGATGCAATTTTTAAACTGTTTAGCAAAGAAAGCTGAAACTTGCTTTAAAGCACAAATAGAATTTCTGCGTTTTTGTCTTTGTCGGAGTTCTGTGATCATTTATGTCTGTTTATAGTATTTTCTTTCTTTTGGAAACAGGTTTGACTGTAGGAATATCAGTCTTGAAGTGCAGTTTCTTCTGAGACTCTTGACTAAAGCAGCAGAGACTGAGACACAGACAGGAGAGCAGATGCTGAAACTGTTATCATCAGTCTGCACCTACACATCTTTTCCTTATCAAGAGACTAACAGAATTAAACAGAGTGATTTCCTGCTGGATCTTTACTCACATGTGAAGAACTATGAGACTCAAACAGGCAGGAGTTTCCTTCCAGCATTACAGTCAGTTTTCCAGTCTCCTGATGTCTGGATCATAGATCTCTCACAGAGAAAGACCTCCGTCCTCCTGGAAGTGCTGAAACTCCAGACAGAGAAGAAACCAGTAAAGCTGAGCGGATGTTCAGAGGAAGAGAGTGAAATGAAGAGTTTCCTTCAGTGTCTGTCCTACATCTCACAGCTGAGGTAAGATATTGTACAGCCTTTTGCTCAACATGTTTAAAAAAGCTGGAGTAGACATTTGTGTATTAAATTGATCATCAAAAAATGTATTGTTTTGTATTTACCTTTGGATGCAGAAATGTGTTAAATTGATTGAAAAACCTGTTATTCTAAGGGTCACAGAGAAGCTGGAAAATAGTCAGGAAAATGAAACTGACTGGTTCTAGAAACCTCAACTAACATTAGCTCAAAAATTATATATATATTTCACAAATTGAACTTAGAAATAAAAACAGTATAAATAACAAAAAAAAAGTGTTCTTTTAGTCTTATTAAGTGCAAACAATAAGTGCAAGTGCAACCATAATGAAAGTACTGTAGCGCACAGACTCTTTATACAGGGTGTCCGCAGGGTCTTAGAAAGTATTAAAATTTGATAAATCAATTTAGAGAAAATTAAGGCCCTTAAAAAGTCTTAAATGTCATTTTCCAAGTTATTAAATTTTGTATCATCTATTCGTTATGTATAATAACTAATACATAACATTATTATTTGTGCAAAGAGGTTGTATGCTAAAGTTCGCCTGAATTTAATCATTGCGTGGGCGATTAGTGGGATTCTGTGTAGTTTTTTTAATTTATTTTTTTATTGCAAAAACAAAATACAAATCACAAGAGACTAACAAAATATACATAACAATATACAGGATTATAACATGTTAACAGAATACAATACAGTTTTGCCAGGGGAAGCATATGGGCCATTACAGAGAGAAAGAGGACCATATGTTGACAGTTTTAATTGCCTTTTTGTTGTTGGAGCCAGAAATCAGATTAATATAATATACAACTTCATGGAGAAAAAGTACAAAATTAGTTTTTTTTAGCGCTGAATTTACATTTCTGAATGTGACATTTTGCCAAAAGAATTAATCAATTTATAATGAAGTACATCTTTTCTTTACTTTGACTTCTATAAAAGCAAAATGCAACATTCTTCCACAATAAGACAAAGTGTTTATAAATATGGTCAATGATGAATCTGCTGAGGTTTTGCCAAAATGTTCTGGTGTGTGAGCAATACCAAAAGAGGAGCAAAAGAACTGACGGAAAGAAAACTAAATGGCAGGTCCTGCTGTCATCATTAACGGTGTGAGGCACACCTCATAACTTGTTAAACTTCCCTTAATGTGAGGTACAATTTTCAAGTTAATTATGTATTTTTTATGTATCACCCAATCTTAATGGGTTAATTTGCTCTCCTTGTATACAATTAAAAGAGCAATATGTTCACTCCAATAGTTCACATATGAATTCTAGGAGTTAATTGAGGTACTCGTGTTCAGAGTTTGTTACTTGGCGCCGGTAAGACAATCTCTGATATTTCCTATCTCTGAGTATTTTTCTCTTTAACTAGTTCCTATAACTTTAACAGACATCCAGTTCAGTTTGATCTTTTCTTACATTATGACGGACTTCCATTTTAGTTCCTTAAAAATAATATCTTTGAATGTCAGGGGTATTCGTGATCGCACCAAAAGGAAATCAATCCTTTTATTCAGTAGATGCAAAAAATGCTGATTTGATATTTTTACAGGAGATTCAATCGTTGGACAATGATGTGAAGTTTTGGAAAGCACAGTGAGGAGATCTATGATATTTCTGTCAAGTGTTGCCATTCTACTTAATACATTTAAAGGAGACATAGTTGAATCAGTGACCTCAAATGAGGGTAGATGGATAATCTTGGTTTTCAAATTAGACAATTCCTTCTTTCTCAAGCTAAAATAATGTTTTTACAACTTTGTATGAAACATGAAGCCTTTAAAAACAAATATAAGGATGCACACTTGATTATTGGAGGCGATTATAATGATGCTCCAGATGATCTTCTGTAAGATTAATCAATGTTGGATCAACGTCAGTAGATCCTTACAGTCTAGAACTGATCTATGTCTTATATCTCTTTCTTTTCTGCAATTTGTGTCAGAATCATCACACAGCTTTCCCCATGTTCTGATCAAACATTCATTTCAATCCATTTAGCAGGAACAAAACAACAAAATTGTAATACATGGTTATTGGAAACTAAATAATAATTTATTAAAAGATAATGAGTTATGTGATTTAGTAAGAAAAACACATACAAAAATGGGATTTTTTTCAAGTTTAAAATGAGAGAAATAGCAATTAAAAGAAGTAAAGTAATTAAAAAAATAATATAGCCAAAGAAATCAGTATTATGGATTAATTCAATGACTAAGGATAATCTTTCTGAGAAAGAAGAAACAATAATGAAAAAATGAAAAGAGGAAATATAGATAATATGTATATTGAAATGGCTAAAGGTGCATTTGTAAGGTCCCAAAACGGCTGGAACAAGGGGAACGAAATTCGAGCTATTTCTTTGCTTTAGAGAAACGAAATCGCAAGAGAAATATTTTTTAACTACTCTTAAAATTGATAATAACATCACCTCTAATTCTTTAGACATTTCAAGATATGTTGGTACATTTTATAGCAATATATATGTTGCTATAAAATGTACCAACATATCTTGAAATGTCTAAAGAAGTCTATAAAAGAGTCGAATGAAAAGAGGTCTTCATGAGATAATAAGTGAAACAGGTTTTATGTCTAACCGTCACATTAGCTCTAATATAAGACTTGTTTTTGACCTGCTGGACTATTCTGATAACATCAATACTGATGCACTGACAGTATTGCTTGATTTTTATAAAGCATTTTATACGGTAGAACATAATTTTTTACTTAAAGCATTTCAAATTTTTGATTTCAGACAAAATTGCATATCTAAAGTTGAAATGCTTTATAACAATATTGATAGTTCTGTGATATTATATCCAAACACCCCAAAAAGATTTCCTGTACTGAGATCAGTTCTCCAGGGCTGTCCTATTTCACTGTTTCTGTTCCTGCTGGTGGTTGAATTATTGTCATTACATATTAGACATAGTCCTATTATTAAAGGATAGACTATTTTTGGCAAGGGAATTAGAGTAACTCAATTAGCGGATGATACAGCTCTCTTTTTGAGTGACACACATCAGATTGATAATGCTTTAACCCTAATCGACCAATTTTCAGCTGCTTTGGGTTTAACACTTAACAAATCTAAATGTGAAATCTTATGTCTGTTTCAGACTGAAGAGCAAAACATGTTTAATATACCTGTTAAGAAATGTGTCAAATATTTAGGTATTATTCATATCTGCAAGGATCACAAGGAACGTCAACAACTTAATTTTTCGCCTAAATTGAAGAAAACTAAAACAATACTGAATTTTTGGCTTCAAAGAGACATTTCTATTTTAGGAAGGATTCTTTTGACTAAAGCAAAAGGGATTTCAAGATTTGTCTATCCTGCCCTCTCTCTTAATGTCCATGATTCAACATGTAAAGATATCATATTTACGAATTTTGTGTGGAAACACAGACACCATCATGTAAGAAAAGTGGTGCTCTCTGGTTCTAAAGATGAAGGTGGATTTGAACTTTTGGACTTTTGGGACTTGAATTATTATACCTTTAAGGTGAAATGGTTGAAGGAATGTTTGAGCACCAGAGTCCTTATGGTACTTTATCCCCAACAATATTTTTAATAGTGTATAAAATTTGTATTGAAATGTAACTACAATATTACAAGATTGCCGCTAAAACTATCCCAATTTTATTTTGGCCTGGAAGCTGTCATTCTCACAACTTTTCTTCACGCAAGTCCCTCTTATGGAATAATGAATGCATCACTAAAGGGGACAAGTCACTCTATTTGCAGAAATTGATCGATAGAGATATTATCTTTTTAAAAGACCTTTTTGATTGTAATAACCAATTACTTAATTATGAATCCTTTCTCAGAGAAAAAAACTATGAAAGTAAAATAATGCCAAATATCTTTGAAGCAAAAAAGCCTGTTGAATTGCACTATTGAAAAAAATATGCATTGCATTAACCATGCTAGCATTTTAATGCATGTATTTTTAGGGCTTGCGTTTTTATGGGCTGAAATTCAACATGGTTGAATATTTAAGCTGTGAATATTTCAATTCAAAACATTTCAAACACATTTTCATTATTAAAAATTCAATAATCCATATTCACCTTTCATATTTCACTCCCAAAATATTCAAACTGTTTAAAAATACAACCTATAATATTCAACTGGCAATTTTCGGTCCATTTTATTTTGCTTTGCAAATTCTCTTCCACAAATTAAGTGGTTCAAATTCAACAGTAAATTCAACGTTGACATCCAGGAACTGCAGGAAAAGCAGTCGATTACCGAGCATAATCTCCATCTGCTGTTAGTCGACCTCACCAGCAGGAGGCGCAAGCGCGTGTTGTTAACGAAGACCAGAGCAACAGTTAGAGCAAGACATTCATTCATAAAAACTCATTTACAGCAATTGAGCATGCATTCAGTTTTTGTGATGATTATCTGGGTCAGTATTTATGCGGAAAATATGATAAAAACACAAAAGCTGTGTTTGTTTAATTCAATAACTTTCCTTGTTACTTTCCCTGTGTAGCCTATCAGCTTTCTCTACCATGAACGGGATTATAATCGGTTTCCCTCAATACCTCATCATACTCAAGGATTCCCCTTCCACCGGGACAAACGCTTAACGTAGCTTAATGGACTAATACAGTGATATTAAAGACCAAACTCGCACCTTATTGGGGATGTAGGCTATACTATATAGGCTACAGGCAAGCAGATGGACTCAGAATATGAACTAAACGCTCAAAGTTTCATGCTGTTTCAAGCTTTCACTTTTGCACCTCCTGCTGGTGAGGAAGACAAACAGCAGATGGAGATTATGCTCTGTAATCGACTGCTTTTCCTGCAGGATGTCAACGTTGAATTTACTGTTGAATCTGAACCACTGAATTTGTGGAAGCGAATTTGCAAGGCGAAATAAAATGGACCGAAAATTGCCTGTTTAATATTATAGGTTGTATTTTCAAATGAATAACCCGGGTTTGCCTGTTTAAATTTTAAATTTAAGTTTAAATTTAAGTTTTAAATTGCCTGTTTAATATTATAGGTTGTATTTTTAAACAGTTTGAATATTTTGGAAGTGAAATATGAAAGGTGAATATGGATTATTGAATTTTTAATAATGAAAATGTGTTTGAAATGTTTTGAATTGAAATATTAACAGCTTAAATATTCAACCATGTTCAATTTCAGCCCATAAAAACGCAAGCCCTAAAAATACATGCATTAAAATGCTAGCATGGTTAATGTAATGCAGTGTTTCTCAAACTTTTTCTGCCATTCCCCACTTTGAAGGTAGGGAAGGGTTCGTGCCCCACCTGTCCTCATGCAATCGCCCCAACAAAATGTTAATAAACTAGGCTTTAAGTTAAAATGTATTTTATTAACATGACATTTTAAAAACATAAACATGACAGTAGATACTGTGTTTCCCACAGTATTTTGTGTGGGGTGTGAACCTCTGCACCCCAATGGTCCGGGGGCATGCTCCCCCGGAAGAAAAGTTTGTACGTTTTAAAGTTAAATTCATAAATATGGTGCACTTTGAAAGTTCAAAATTAAGTGATTTAACTAATTTAATGTCTGCATTGAGCCTGTTTTTTAGTAGGCTACACATATTTTCTGAACCAGAGACGGACAGCGCTCACCGCTTGACATCACAACTAGTGTTCATCAGTGTTTTCAACCACATAATGTTTATTTTAGGTTTCAGACATTTAAATTCACATAAGTAAGTTACTAAAAAAGCAATACATTTAGAGTTTGTCAAATACACACTTATGTCTATGGAAGCGGGAATCATAATTATTTCCATTATAATTAGATGACACGTAATATTCATATCAAATACACATCGTGTAAGTAACTCAAGTTTACTCTATGCTCTATCTTTTTCAACTAGTGCAATTCAACAGGCTTTTTTGCTTCAAAGATATTTGGCATTATTTTTTCCTCCATAGAAGGGATTCCCGATAACGTTCAAAGAATATAACTCAGTTTTCAAATCTATACCTAATGGCATATTAGAACTAATGAAAAGTCCCTGGCTTTAATTTTACTCGTTATATAAACGGTATGGATATTATCAGCAGCAATTGTACAGATAATAAGCATGTCAGAAAATGCTTTCTAAATTTAAAGAAAATAAATAACACCTTTTGTATTCTGGAAAAGTGTTGAAAATTATATGGCATCTAAAACAACAAATCACACTTGAAGGGAAATCTCTTTATTTTACTAGGTTCCATATTCATAAAGCAAAATTTTCCAAATCAAGACGATATTTAAAATTATTCCAAATTGAAACTGACATATATTTTGAGTCTCTTATATTGGTTAAAAATAAGAAAGCTACGTCAATAACTGATATATACTCAAACATTCCTGTTATCCTTATCATTAATGAAGTTTATAAGTCTGTTTTTTTTTAAATTAATTTCATACTTGTTATTCATATTATGTTATTTGTAATTATTTGATGTATATTCTTTGTTTATGGATTGTGATGACTGATTGTTTGTAAATTCAATTCTAAAAAAAAAATATTTATAATAATTCATAATATTTATCTTGTTTATTGTTTCACTTTCATGTTGAGAAAAACAATAATATTCACACATGCTCGAGTAGAAAACGCGCTGTGATCTTCGCAACCAATGTGAATCAATCAAGACTATCTTTAGCTGGACAATAACTTTATCCTAGAGCTGTGGCAAAGCCTAAACAATATGTCACGGTTATATATATTATCACTGTAAAGCTGCTTTGAAACAATCCATACTGTTAAAAGCACTTTATAAATGAAGGTGACAGGTTTGGAACAACACAAGGGGGAGTAAATGATGACCACATTTTGGGTGAACTATTCCTTTAGGGATAAATCAGTCCACGCCTATTTTGGGTGAAATGGCCAATAGTAGTTAGGAACGTTTAGCGGGAGAGAGTTTCTTCGTCTCCTTCTGACAGTCGAATCTGCATGTTTAATGATGATGCCAGAATTGGTCATTTTTACACCAAAGGATGGTAAACATAGTATTATACATGTTATTTTAACACACTAAACATCATAAATTAAGGCGTAACGAGAGGAATATTTCGATACCAAGAAAGATATGGCTGGAAGATATCAAAGCAGAGAAACATTCTCACACTTGACTATAAGCACTGAGAGTTTAACTAACACAACTAGAAAGTTGTAACTAGGCTAATATAAGCTGGGGACATTCATACACACAGGAATATATCATATACATTCTGGGATGACTTAATTATGAGTTAAATGGAAAGAATGTGTGTGTCTCTGTATGTTGGGTGTGTTTCTCCAGTTTCTAAGACACATGGCCTTTCGTTCCTGGCGTGGAAGGGAAGTTGAGTTTATAAAGATCTTTTTGAAGCTCACGAAGGAGTTTCTGTTCAGCCTCTGCCAGGACACTAAAGTGACAATGGGGGAAATTTGATCCAGACTCATCGGCGCTAGGCCTGTGATTTACATGAAGAAGTCCAAAAAGGTTAAAAGCTTTCTGAAGTTTAGAACTGAATCGGTCATCGTGACTCAGTCCAGACGCTACACGTTATACTGTATATGGAGCTTGGAAAATAGTGTGATAAATGTCACTAGATTCTGTCCTCTTATATAAATGTTGCTGTTATGTTTCTTATTATCAGAATAATTGTTTTTGTGTACTATATAGTTGATTTATAAATGCTGTATGTTGTCATAAATTAACAGGATTTTTATTTCTCTGTATTTGATCAGCTTTTGGTTCTATGGTGATGAAGAAAAGATGAAGTCTGTTTATAGTATTTTTTTCTTTTGGAAACAGGTTTCACTATTGGAATATCAGTCTTGAAGTGCAGTTTCTTCTGAGACTCTTGACTAAAGCAGCAGAGACTGAGACACAGACAGGAGAGCAGATGCTGAAACTGTTATCATCAGTCTGCACATACACATCTTTTCCTTATCAAGAGACTGACAGAATTAAACAGAGTGATTTCCTGCTGCATCTTTACTCACATGTGAAGAACTATGAGACTCAAACAGGCAGGAGTTTCCTTCCAGCATTACAGTCAGTTTTCCAGTCTCCTGATGTCTGGATCATAGATCTCTCACAGAGAAAGACCTCCGTCCTCCTGGAAGTGCTGAAACTCCAGACAGAGAAGAAACCAGTAAAGCTGAGCGGATGTTCAGAGGAAGAGAGTGAAATGAAGAGTTTCCTTCAGTGTCTGTCCTACATCTCACAGCTGAGGTAAGATATTGTACAGCCTTTTGCTCAACATGTTTAAAAAAGCTGGAGTAGACATTTTTGGTTTAAATTAATTATTTTTATTTTTATTGTTTTTTATTTTAAAAATTTGAAAAATACTGTTATTCTAAGGGAAGCTGGAAAATAGTCTGGAAAACTGACTGTTTTTAGAAACCTTAACTAACGTTTGCTCAAAAAAAAAAAAAAATTTTAATAAATGAAACTATGAATACATACAACAACACCTAAATATCACACACAGTTCATCTTTGAGAACCAGCAAAGAATCAAATCACCTTAAGGCACGGGCAAACAATCTTAAACATCTAAATATCGATAGAAATAATACTTACATTGATCCTTTGCCCCTAACCCCTAATCCTACCCATCTCCACCCCTTAGATCTGGATCCAACTCCGCCCCCTGGATCTCATGCAATGAGGTGCTAGGGATAAATCAGTCCCCGCCTATTTTGGGTGAAATGGCCAATAGTAGTTAGGAACGTTTAGCGGGAGAGAGTTTCTTCGTCTCCTTCTGACAGTCGAATCTGCATGTTTAATGATGATGCCAGAATTGGTCATTTTTACTCCAAAGGATGGTAAACATAGTATTATACATGTTATTGTAACACACTAAACATCATTAATTAAGGCGTAACGAGAGGAATATTTCGATACCAAGAAAGATATGGCTGGAAGATATCAAAGCAGAGAAACACTCTCACACTTGACTATAAGCACTGAGAGTTTAACTAACACAACTAGAAAGTTGTAACTAGGCTAATATAAGCTGGGGACATTCATACACACAGGAATATATCATATACGTTCTGGGATGACTTAATTATGAGTTAAATGGAAAGAATGTGTGTGTCTCTGTATGTTGGGTGTGTTTCTCCAGTTTCTGAGACACATGGCCTTTCGTTCCTGGCGTGGAAGGGAAGTTGAGTTTATAAAGATCTTTTTGAAGCTCATGAAGGAGTTTCTGTTCAGCCTCTGCCAGGACACTAAAGTGACAAGGGGGGAAATTTGATCCAGACTCATCGGCGCTAGGCCTGTGATTTACATGAAGAAGTCCAAAAAGGTTAAAAGCTTTCTGAAGTTTAGAACTGAATCGGTCATCGTGACTCAGTCCAGACGCTACACGTTATACTGTATATGGAGCTTGGAAAATAGTGTGATAAATGTCACTAGATTCTGTCCTCTTATATAAATGTTGCTGTTATGTTTCTTATTATCAGAATAATTGTTTTTGTGTACAATATTGTTGATTTATAAATGCTGTATGTTGTCATAAATTAACAGGATTTTTATTTATCTGTATTTGATTAGGTTTGGGTTCTATGGTGATGAAGAAAAGAAGATGAAGTCTGCAGTGAAACTCCTGCTGAATCTCAGTGTTGCTGCAGTTGAAAATGTCACAGTTACAGGAACAAGATTCTCTACTCTGCTGTCGTCTGTGTGCAGTTACAAAACCTTCCCTTTTCATCAAGAGTGGGATGAATATGATCCTGATTATCAGAGTGATTTCCTGCTGGATCTTTACTCACATGTGAGGAACTATGAGACTCAAACAGGCAGGAGTTTCCTTCCAGCATTACAGTCAGTTTTCCAGTCTCCTGATGTCTGGATCATAGATCTCTCACAGAGAAAGACCTCCGTCCTCCTGGAAGTGCTGAAACTCCAGACAGAGAAGAAACCAGTAAAGCTGAGAGGATGTTCAGAGGAAGAGAGTGAAATGAAGAGTTTCCTTCAGTGTCTGTCCTACATCTCACAGCTGAGGTGAGAGAATCTACAACAACTTACAGTGTCAGTGTTCTCAGGTTGATCTTATTCTTAGTTTGGTGACAGAACCCTGACACTCATAATGTGTCTAGACTGGACGGACGAAGTCGCCGTTGCAAATTTTCAACACAAAAAAGAAAAATTCTTTGTGTCAGAAATAGCGCGAGCGCTGGAAGTACGTCAGGAGTAGAAAAGAGCTTCAGTTTACTGTCAGGAGTTTGTTGTGGCGCTGCATCCAGTGTAGACAGCATCACTGATTATAATGAGTTATATTTGCTGCTCACGTCTGGTTTATATGGTTTATATATGGCGTGGTGATGGCGCAGTGGATAAGACACGCCTTTGGTGTGAGAGACCCGGGTTCGAATCCACTGTGAGACACCAATGTGTCCCTGAGCAAGACACTTAACCCCTAGTTGCTCCAGAGGTGTGCGACCTCTGACATATATGGCAATTGTAAGTCGCTTTGGATAAAAGCGTCAGCTAAATGAATAAATGTAAATGTCAGCTAAAAATAAATGGTTTAGACACAGCTTCTGTGTATTCACAGGATATATATATATATATATTTTTTGTGATAGCACACATTATTTAAAAAATATTTAAAAACGAAATCTGTTACAAACGTTGAATACTAGAGACAGATGACAGCTCCTTCATAATTGCGCTCTTATATTAAACTCGCTCACACATTGATGCATTGCTACACAATCATGGAAAACTTAAAAATTTAAATTGGTAATTTTAAAATTTAGGACAATTTAGGCCATAAAAAATCTAGAAATAAATTATAAAAAAAAGTTTAAATATGTAACTATTCTAGTAAAATATGGAATTATTTTGCTCAGTTATGCTCAGCTCTAAAATATTTAATTAATATTTTACACTCTTTGTTAGAAGCCTATTAGTTGAAGTCATAATTTACATACTGAAAACATTTACTGACGCTCCAGAAGGCGAAACATTGCATTAAAATACAAGGGGGGTGTAAATATTTACATTTATAGAGGATAACATTTATTGAAATATTTATTGGGGGTAAATTGTTCTTATTTTGTCATCTGGAAATATGTAAGTGTTTTATGTAGCTTTTGCAGGGCAGTAATAAAAAATAAGATCTTATAAAATAAGGATGATCCAATCCTCCTTTTCAAAGGTTTACACCCACCGGCTCTTGATGTGTTGTGTTGCCTTGAGCATCAGTGAATGTTTGCAGCTTTTGATCATTCAGATTCATTACAACACATATGAACTGGATCTTGTGTGTAAATTGACTTCTTATTATGTCTTGTGGCCTATATGTAAACAAACATCATGTGACTTGACCTGTACATATATTTAAAGTTCCTCTCAAGTTACTGTTCATGCAATAAAAAATACTAAGTAGTTTATTTTTCATAGAAATTATTAAAAAGACAAACATGCTATTAAAAAACCTGGAAAAAAAAAAAAGCATTTTATCTAGTATTTAATACAAGGTCATTAGAAATCAAAGTGGATCATTCTGAATTTGCCAAAAAAGAAAAGAAAAACAAAACAACGAATCATAAATTGAATCAAGTGTGACCAAAAAAGTTTTCAAAATTCCCCCAAAGTCACGCAATCCTAGAACGGGCCTGTGCGAGACGCGAGCGCAACGGTCACACACGTCCGTCTAGCGCATGATTACACTGAAAAACAATGGACAAGTAGCGCAGTGAATGGAAAAACACGTTCTGTGTGAACTGGCCCTGAGAGTCTTTAGATTCTTTACACATGAAATACAATGCATTGTTCATTTCTTTGTCCAATTGTAATGAGTCATATTAATTGATCTAGTCATTTTAATGAAGTATTTATTGTATTTTTCAGCTGTTCTGAGCAGTGTTTGTTAGCTTTAGTTAAAGTGGTTGAGCTCAGAGAGAATCCAGAGCTGGTGACTTCACTGTTGGAGCTTCTCGGCTCCTCCGTCAGTCTGGAAGGAAGTTTACCCAGTAAATCCTGCAGGTCTGTGGGACGAGTCTTACGCTTCTCTTCTGACAGACTCAACCTCTCTCTAAAACCTAAAGCCATCTCTATAAGAGGAACCAGGCTTCTCTTCAGACACATCACACACATACACACACTTAGGTACAGACAGGATTATTAATTACCATTTCAAATGTTGATCTTGATTTATTTTCCTGCTAATATTTACAGTGTGTGTTGTTTTGTTCAGGCTGAGTGTTTATATGGTGCTGAGAATAGTGCAGGTGTTGAGGTCAATGAGGGTTCAAACTCCCGTCACTGTTAATGAACTCACACTTGATCTGAATGGTGAACGGCTGTCAGAGAGGAAGTGGTCGAGAGTCCTGAGCAGTTTGGCCATCTTTCTGAGACTCTGGACTGTCCAGTGTTTGAACCTGACTGAACACAAGATGGCGTCTGTTTCTCTATGTGTCCTACTGTGTCACCAGGCCCCAGTGATTCTCAGGTATAAGACTATAAGACACATTTCAGCAGTGTTTGACCTTATATTTATCATGGCATAGAGATAAATCAGTTAATTCTGTATGTGTAGAGCATCTAAAGAGAGTCTCCAGAAGCTGGTTGAATGTGTCCATGAAGCTCAGGAAGAGGAACTGACTCAGCACTTCCTGCAGAAAGTGGGCGGAGATCTGACTTCCTGTTCCTTGAGCTGGGAAGAGCTTCACTATTTCCTGCAGCACAGAATTCAACAAATCACTGTGAACTTCAGAAAGAGCGACATTCAGTGCAACATCAGAGAAATCCTGCCATTTCTGAACAGGATTCAGTTTAAACGGTATTCAATACATTATTTCTATCTCAAAAACACTTCCTACAAATGAATGGCAAGATTTAAAGGTTTTCTTTTTTCCCATAAAATCTTGAACTGAATAAGTAGTGATAAAAAGATCAATCTTTAATCATGATGATGTGTGTGTGTGTACAGGATGAGCTCTGTCTTCATGCTGTCTGTAATCACAGAGATCTATGAGAGCGGCTCTGTTGAGTGTGTGTTCAGTCTGTTGAGTTCAGTGCAGAACTACATCAGCCTGCAGAGCAGAGATCTGGACTCTGGCCACTGTGCGGCGCTGCGCTTCACACTGCAACACTGCACTGCAGTTTCACTCGACCTGCTGTGGACCTCCATCCCAGAGGAAGAGCTGGAGAGCATTGTGCCTCTCTTCAGACATGTGTCCCGCATTAGGTCTCGCTACTTTACTCTGGAGAGGCTTCTCAATGCGAAGGCTGCGTTCCTCCTTTACCAGTCCTTCTGAAGCGTTACACACTGGAGTCTAGTGGATCTGATATTAATAATATATGTTGAAGAAAACTATACATTAAAAATCTTTATATTTTCTGTCTTAATGTAGTACTAAATAGCAATCATCCGTGATCTCCAAGGCTGCTTTCCAAAGATCCTACAAATTGAATTCGCCAGTGTGATCGAGATATGCAGCCTTTCATTTGAGAAACTCCTTATTTCTCTCTTCTCCTCTTTCTCTCGGCTGTTTGTTACATTCAACAGATTTTGTGTGATATAAAAGCCTTATGGCCATCATATGTTTGTGTGTGTTCAGTGTTGATGATGATGTGTGTGTGTGTGTGTGTGTTCAGTGTTGACAGGCTGCTGTTACTGAAGATGCTTCACTGCTGCAGTGTTGATGATGGTGTGTGTGTGTGTGTGTGTGTGTTCAGTGTTGACAGGCTGCTGTTACTGAAGATGCTTCACTGCTGCAGTGTTGATGATGATGGTGTGTGTGTGTGTGTGTGTGTGTGTGTGTGTGTGTGTGTGTGTGTGTGTTCAGTGTTGACAGGCTGCTGTTACTGAAGATGCTTCACTGCTGCAGTGTTGATGATGGTGTGTGTGTGTGTGTGTGTGTGTGTGTGTGTGTGTGTGTGTGTGTGTGTTCAGTGTTGACAGGCTGCTGTTACTGAAGATGCTTCACTGCTGCAGTGTTGATGATGGTGTGTGTGTGTGTGTGTTCAGTGTTGACAGGCTGCTGTTACTGAAGATGCTTCACTGCTGCAGTGTTGATGATGATGATGTGTGTGTGTGTGTGTGTGTGTGTGTGTGTGTTCAGTGTTGACAGGCTGCTGTTACTGAAGATGCTTCACTGCTGCAGTGTTGATGATGGTGTGTGTGTGTGTGTGTGTGTGTGTGTGTGTGTTCAGTGTTGACAGGCTGCTGTTACTGAAGATGCTTCACTGCTGCAGTGTTGATGATGGTGTGTGTGTGTGTGTGTGTGTGTGTGTTCAGTGTTGACAGGCTGCTGTTACTGAAGATGCTTCACTGCTGCAGTGTTGATGATGGTGTGTGTGTGTGTGTGTGTGTGTGTGTGTGTGTGTGTGTGTGTGTGTGTGTGTGTGTGTGTGTTCAGTGTTGACAGGCTGCTGTTACTGAAGATGCTTCACTGCTGCAGTGTTGATGATGGTGTGTGTGTGTGTGTGTGTGTGTTCAGTGTTGACAGGCTGCTGTTACTGAAGATGCTTCACTGCTGCAGTGTTGATGATGGTGTGTGTGTGTGTGTGTGTGTGTGTGTGTGTGTGTGTGTGTTCAGTGTTGACAGGCTGCTGTTACTGAAGATGCTTCACTGCTGCAGTGTTGATGATGGTGTGTGTGTGTGTGTATGTGTGTGTGTGTGTGTGTGTGTGTTCAGTGTTGACAGGCTGCTGTTACTGAAGATGCTTCACTGCTGCAGTGTTGATGATGGTGTGTGTGTGTGTGTGTGTGTGTGTGTGTTCAGTGTTGACAGGCTGCTGTTACTGAAGATGCTTCACTGCTGCAGTGTCGATGATGTGTGTGTGTGTGTGTGTGTGTGTGTGTGTGTGTGTTCAGTGTTGACAGGCTGCTGTTACTGAAGATGCTTCACTGCTGCAGTGTCGATGATGATGATGATGTGTGTGTGTGTGTGTGTGTGTGTGTTCAGTGTTGACAGGCTGCTGTTACTGAAGATGCTTCACTGCTGCAGTGTCTCTGATGTCCAGCAAGAGTTTTCCTCAGTTCTGCTCTCCGTCCTGCAACACAAGCTGGACTTCTCCTGCCGTTCTGCTCTGGATCTGACAACACACACACACTCTGAGACTCTACATCTGACCACTGAGGACTGCCGTGTGATGACCACAGTCATTCAGAGAGCTCACACACACACACCCACAAACACACAGCTGATTCTACAGGACTGTGAGATTAACACAGCTGGAATGGACCAGCTGTTGCCAGTGTTACATGCTGTTAAACTCTGGTGAGAAACATCCACAGATTACATTCATACACAAACAGACAGAAATATAATATTAATATTTCTCTTTCTGTGTGTTTCAGCTGTGATAAATCTCTGCTGCTTCAGTTTCTGGCTCATGTGAGTCCTGAGGAAGCGGAGTCTCTTTCTCGAGCTCTGGGTGACGAGGTGGACCTCAGTCAGACTCCTCTGGAGCCGCAGGTCTGTCGAGGTCTGGCGCTGATTCTGGAATATTCTGAAGGACTGACTGAACTGGATCTGAGTCAGTGCCGTCTCACTGATCCCAGCCTGGATCTGCTGCTCACACACCTCCACAAAGCACAAAACATTGAGTGAGTGACTGAGACACAAACAAGTATGATGTAATAATTTAGCATTTTGTCTGATTTGTTTGTTTGATCTGCAGTTTTAGTGGCAATAGCATCACTGACACTGGGGCTCAGAGAATCTACAGTGTCGTCTGTCGCAACAGTGACATAAAGACAGTAAGGTGTGTGTCTGAACGTCACAGAATCACATTCCCTTCTAAAGTTATTTGAGCTGAAGTCTTATAGTATGCAACAAACATGAGGCTCAAAAATAAAACTGATCTCTGAGTTGAAGTGCTTTCTCTTTGATTCAAGGCCATTTTGTTACTGCTTTTCCTTTGCTATCTACTACAATTTATCATCCGTTAAAAAGAATTAAAACATTGGAACAATTTATGTCTACAAATCTGAATTCTGTTCCTGATGGTGTGTTTGTTTCAGCTGCTGTTTCTAATATCAGTGTGTGTTTGTGTCTGTAGGCTCTTCAACAACAGAATTGAATCCAGAGAGCTCTTCCTCACTGACCCACGATTCGAGATCTGGTGATGATAATAAACTCTCTCTGGAATCAACAAGCAGGTGAAACAACCAATGCAGATCTAGAGAGATGAGGCTCGTGAAAAGGGAACGGGTGTGAAGACTTTTGAAGAATCGGGCCATCAGAGTCCCAGAGATGAATCTAGCAGCAGATTTTATACCATATACTGTACAGGTTTCATAATCATCTTCATTCTTCAGTCATAATCAACAGTGGGTTTCTGTTTCAATAAAGCCCCTTTCACGCAGCGCGTTGATCCCGGGAAATTTAATAATAACTGTTTTGTAAATGAACAAATCCATCTGTAAACTTTCTTTCCTCTTCTCCATCCCTTTATATTATTTGTGATGCAGGGTTATAGTTTTGAATTTAGTTTTTATTTCTATTTTCAATTTAATTTAGTTTTCCCTATAATTTAGTTTTAGTGTAGTTAATATAGTATTTTTTCTCAGTGACAGTTTATTTTATTTTATTTTTATATTATTTTTGTTTTAGTATTTTTATGGCTTCTAAAGTAAATATGCTAACTGGAATCATTTGCAATCCTGGAATCTGTTGTTGAAATCAACGAAGTCTTTCAATCCAGTGTTTTTGCTATAGAGGCTTTTTCATGGTTAATTCAGGCGGGATGTAAAGGTTTTCTAGTTTGACATGTCATGTATTAAAACCTAAAATTAATTGATGGTCTATTTTAGTAAGTTTGGGAGCCATGGTTATTTTATGTTAATCTTATTCTGATAATATGAATTTCTTGTCCTTTCCCCCCTTTTTCTAGGCAAATAATTAATGTAAACAGCCGAAGCTGTATCTCTGTATTTAAAATGTTTTCCAGATGTTTGTGCTTCATTGGATGTGGGCCTTGCATTGCATTTATGGCACATTTTCACAAATGGCAACAGTTTAGATGTAAAACATTTTAAGGTGATGTGTGTAACATTGAACAACTTGTTTGAGCATCTTAAAAAAAACAACACTGCAACACTGATGGTCCATAATGTGGTTAAGCTTTATGAAAAAGATGTTGACGTACTCCTGTGTGAATATTCCTGTATGTGTGTTATCAGCATAATCTGAATATATGATGGATAGATTTTATTTTTGCAGAACTGTTTGTAGATGCTAGAATTACACACTTCACCTAAAAACAAAGAGCGATTTGCATGTATGCAAATATATTATATACTGGCATAATTATTTTCTTAATGCTAAAGATGGTTTTGATATTTTTAATTTTCCATTTCAATTTCAATGTCTTTCCAGTAGAGGGCAGCAATGATTTGTTAAAGTGAAAGTTAAAGTGAAGTGACATGAAGGCCCAGTTTGGAGCCCATGCTCAGAATTTGTCCTTTGAATTTAACACATCCAAGTTTATGCACATACATTAGGAGTAGTACACACACACACAGAGAGAGTTAGGTGCCTCGCTCAAGGGCATCTCAGTCGATTCCTGCCGTTATTGAGAGTCGAACCCTCAACTATTGTGTTACAAGTCCGACTCTCTAACCATAAGTCCACGACTGCCTTCTCCTTAATAATGAAAACATCCAAACTGAAGATCAAACAGTAATGCACTTACACCATTGATTACCTGATCTTCTCCTCTTCATCTCCTCATCATGAAGAAGAGTAGAACCCGTTTGACTGCCTGAACTCTAGTGTTTACTGCAGACACAATACAAGAGAGACGTTATACTCAGGAAAACACACTAACCTCATTCCTCCGACTCAAATGATTGGTGAGTTCGGCGAGTAAAACTTGATTTCGTTTTTTTTATTACTTCTAGCTCTACTTGAATGTTATGGTACTGATATAGTTTAGATATAGTGTATTACAAACGTTTACAGGACGTTTAGAAGGTGTCCCACTGTTACTTGACCAGTTTTCAGAGGTCTTCTGAAATGTCAGAAACACTTGCATTCAATCCTGTGTTGTATATGAGCTTTATTATTTGGGATACGGTAATAAACTGTTACTGATTGATATAAAATCTGCCTTTTTTCATATTCGTGTCATATCCACAATTTTGAAACATAATATTGTGCTAGTCTTTTATTAAAGTTCAAAATTTCGATGATAACCATGATCTGTCCTACTTGATTTCAAGCTTTATTTTCTCTAAGTCTGATAGATCGAGTCGTCATTCTCGAGGAGAATGAGAGGTTTAGTCTTTCTGAATTCAAAGCTCCTGAACTCAGTTTTTGAGATGTATTTATCTAATATTAGCAGTTATCTGATCGAGATGCACATTAGGGGGACGGTAAGGGCACTTGTAATTTCCTCTTCAGAGTTTATGAGGATCATAGCTGTTGCCATGATGATTTTACTGCTTTGTAAAGATGCAGATACCGTTCATCATGCCTCTTTTCTGCTGTTCTTGTGTTTTCTGCGACATCAACCTTCTCATCACATCAAGAGCTTCATCCTCATCTCTCAGTATGAGTGAGCTGATAAAAACTTCTGTGTTTCTATTTTCGTGAAACAACTTTAGCAATATAATCTTCTTCTGTGAGGTGAGCGTGAACCGAACAAGCTGCTTTTTTACAGAAGCAAAACACTTTGCTTTTACAGTATTTTCTCTCCCACTGCGTTTGCTTTATGACAGGATTCCCGCAGATCATTAAAATATTGAAACTAGAACCTCCTGGTTTTAAGGCCATTAAAACATCTTAAACATGTCTATTTCTTCTGCTATTACATTTTGAGATGAGATCTTTTGGCTGAGTTGCTGTGTAGTCTTGTTTACATGCGTGACATTTTGCATGCTTCACTAGAGGTTTAATTCAAATAATCTATGAAACCGTATTTGTGATTGTGTGAGTTTGTTGTGCATGCAGTAGGGGTTTGCAATATGTATTATATATGATTATATCAGTTTTAACAATGTGCAAAGTGCAAACTGACTTAATAGATGTCACTCGCTTTGCAAAACCCAAACAAAAACATGCATTGAGAGTGTGCTTTCACTGTATCTGTTATTATACAGTAAAAATGCCTCTGAAATTCAAGATATTCATCTACATCAGGAGATGGTGGTTCTGGAACGTGATATCTCAGGTTTTACGCATGGAGAGAGTAGAATAATCTGATCTGATCTGGGAACTATGCAAAGTTATCCTTCATCTGATCTGTTCATCCCATCAAATCATTCTTATCCCCACATTTCAGCTGCACATACACACGATACAACATACAAAGTGCTCTTTCCCATTCATTACAGATACAAATGAAATCCAAGGTAGAGTTACAGAGTACTGTATTTTAATTCAATGCTGTTACAGACTGAATACTTACGTGATTTGCATAAATGATATTCTATTATTGGTCAATATTTGTGTACATCAATATACATATAATAAACATGTTTTTAGGTGTATACTGATGTAAACAAATGAAGGGGTATCCAATTGTTTTTTGTTTTATACTGTAGGTCTTGCACTTCTAGTGTGTCCTGTCATCATGATGATCTTGCATCATTTGCTCTTGTTTACAGCACAAGAACTGCTCCACACTGAGATCATTTACAATAAAGTGATTTTGACACAGATAGGTTTCTTTTTCAGAGTTGTAACATTAATAAACATGCTTTGAACGCTTGTGTTTAATATTACATGCAAACTCTTATTTGGTCAAATTCATAATGAGAAAGAACGATAAGAATAGGTTACAGTGTACCTCTCTATAAGTAGTCTACATACATATTCATTACTGATCTGTCTATAAAGTTTTATTTCAGGATAAAGAAGTGACCAATGCATCCATTGACTATACCTGTTACGACGCCTTGGGATGAGAATATGTTGGTTTAACACATATTACCATATAAAGCCAAGCCATTCTTCAGATTGTCTTAAAATAAATGAGCAAAAAGTCCATAGATTCAGTATGGACTTTCTGTAGCTATAACCAACTACAGCTCAACATTACAAAAACGAAGGAGATGGTGGTCGACTTCTAGAGACCGAGGCCCCAAACTGCAGCCTGTGTTTATCGAAGGCGACTGTGTGGAGGTGGTCCATACAAATACCTAGAACATAGAAGCCCTATACAGGAAGGGACAGAGTCGACTCTATTTTCTGAGAAGGCTAGGGTCCTTCAATATTAATTGAATTGAATATCTGTCAGAAGCTCCTGCAGATGTTTTACCAGACGGCTATCACCAGCGTCCTCTTCTATGCTGTGGTGTGTTGGGGGAGCGCATTAAGAAAAGGGACGCCATGCGGCTGGATAAGCTGGGGAAGAAGGCTGCTTCTGTGATGGGTGTGAAACTTGAAACCTTATCATCTGTGGCAGAGAGGAGGACCCTTAGCAAGTGTTTTTCCATCTTGGACAATGTCCATCACCCTCTGCATAAGTCCAAGTTTGATGTGTAAAGTGAGTGTATTGAGTTTGTTGTGTAATTAAACTGGAGGTTCTGTGGGGTGTGGACTGGATCGATTCCATTCCTGGAGCTTCCGAAAAAATGGGTTTTTGGGGTGCGGACTGATGGGGCAGTGAACCCGAGGTTACCCCGTGAGTCAGTCCTAGAGCTCCTCCTGTCCGGTTTTAGGGAAAAATTGGGTCCATCTGAGATGTCCAATAGATTTCTTAGGCGCGCACGAAAGATCACCAGAGACACAGTTTAATCACCATGGGAAAATCTCACAGTAAAACTGGGAGCTGTGAAAAACATGATACACCGGTGTTTTGCCAGATGAGGAGTTTATGTATCATCTTTTTACTCTTTTAATTCATTTTATAACTGTATCATAAATCTCTTTTAATTTCTTTTATAGCCTAACTGTTTTAATTTTCCTTGCTTTTATTTTGTGATTATTCTAACTCCTTTCTGTATCATCCATCCATCGGTCTGCTATAATTTACCTGCTATTATCAGCATTTGTCACAGAAAATGAATGTTGTTAATTTAGTAAAAATTATTGGTAATTTTCATTTTCTTGAAAGTTAATCTATCATTGTTAAATAGCATACGGTGAGAAACTGATTGAGGAATTCAATGAGAAAGTCTGCTTTAAAAAAAAAAGTAGGCTACAATATGTGATTTCTCCTAAAAATGTTGATCATGTGATGTTTAATGTTTCTGCATCTTATATTTAATAGTAGAGGGACATCTAGAGGCAATATAGAGAGCCCAAGTCCCTCCCCTTCCGGTTGACCACCATGGGACCTTATTTCGGAAAAATATTGTATGGTAGTCAATGGCGAGAGACAACAAATATTTTGATCTCGTTTGAATTGTGCCCTGAATTACACATATGATGTTTGTCAATTTAAAAGATACATTTTAAAGTAAAAAAAAAGTCGCAGTTTGATGTAAAACTGTTGAGGTGAAAATACGAAATTACAAAGACTACAAACCCAAAAGGCGCAAATGTGACGTCATACATTTTGTTTCTATGAATGAAGCTAACTTTACTGAAGCTAACGTCTGTAATTTTTTCTATAGTCTTACAATATAATCGTAACGTTACGCCGTCATGCCTGA